CCTATTTTTGGAGGGAACATCATTGCAGACTCTGATATTGCCCCTACAGGCCCTAGACTCAGACTGGTACCCGCTAGACCTAGCCTACACTACCGGACTCTAAAAATGCCACTTTTGTCTTATTCTGCTTGGCCTCCGGTACCTGCATATTTACCCCCCTACCGGGTGCGGTACCGGCCTACCCGCTACTTGAGTGCTTTTTCCCCTGCTGCAACCTTTCAAAGCCACGGCCACAGGTAAGTACCGGCCCTGGGGCCCAATGAACGAACAAGTGCCCTGGCGGCCACACACACGCACACTCATACCAACCAGCAGTCAGACAGGCACGGTCACACACGCAAGCCAACCAGCACTCAGACAGACATACAGTCCAGCAAGCACACACACACATAGACTTAGCAGGCGGGGAGCTCAGTAGGGCATTCAGTCTATGAGCAAAACTCAGAAATCAGCTGTGTTTCAGTCCGTGTTTTGACGGGTTATCACACTAGCCCCCCCTCAAGAGCGAGGTCCCTTCGAGCGAGTAACTCGTTCTGAGTCCTCAACGAAGGCATCATAAGCAAACAAGGCGAAGAGATTCCTAGTATACTCAGTTGCAGTGAGCTTTGCAGCGATCTTTGGTATATCGTTAGTGGATATCTGTCGCTCATAAGCTTTGACAACGCGCGGTGCACTGCGTAGCAGTTCCTGTTTAGAAATCCAGTACAGATCATCGAGAGGGTGATACATGAAGTGAACCTGGTACTATCTGTTGCGTCCCTTCCCGACATGCTGTTTGATTCTGTCGATCTCATGTCCTCCTTTGATGGCACGGGGAATCATATCTTCTCGGTAGTCAAATGTCTTAGCATCACGGTGGAGATACAGTTTCGATGCATGGAATACGAGATAGGTGCGTAGATGAGGTGGCACATCAACCATGTATGAAGGCCCAAAGTGATCCTCACCAATCACATCCAACACTTCCCACGGGCCATAGTACAGTGGGAGAAGTTTGCGAGGTACTCCCTCTTCTTCTGAGAATTTAGACATCTTTACCCAGACATAGCTGCCTACCTCAATATCCGACGGTCTGCGCCCCTTGTTCGCATGATGGATCATGGCGTGCTGTCGCTTAGTCATGGCTGCAACAACAACCTTGAGCAGGCGATCGTACTTGGCTTTGAAGCCAGGCTTGCCGCTGTTCAGGGAATAAGTATGAGAGCGGATTTC